ATGTTACACTCGTCGAGACTTCTATTTGAATACCCACATGCATTTTTGATATATTTCTCATATATACATATATATGATATATATAAATATATAAAATATATGAAAAATTGATGTGGGTATTCAAATGAAAGGTCTCGACGAGTGTAACATCAGGATGAGCTTATATCTTTAAAAATGTCAATATTTCTCAAGGTACCTCTCCATCATCTCCTGGGAGTTATCGCAACAGGTGTCAGTCAACCGCTGCCAGACTTCCCCACGAAGAGCTTCAGGAATTCCCGCTCGGGTGAGCTTCACCAATAGCTTCGGGCGGTGCTTCCCCGTCCAGGACTCCAGGACCTCGCTCCAGCTAGCTAGCTCATCTGCAGAGCAATCTTTAGACACCTCCCCGGTCCCGCTCAGCATCGGCTCGTCTCCGTCAGAGTCAGGGTCCTCTTTGGGCGTCAGAGTGTCGATACTGGTCAAGGAAGAGGACCTGATCAGCGAGGCCAGGTTCAGCGCCAGGTTCACCCGGTTACGGTCCAACTCTCCGGAAGTCTCGATGCTCACCACCTCGTAGTGGACCTCCAGCTCTCCGGGGACCTCCTTGGAGGTCAGCTGAAACTGCTGGACTAGATTCTTTCGAGAGAGATACCAGAATCGGTAATTTTGCGGGTAGACTTTCGCTGATGTCTCTATTACAAAGCGAACTGGCTCCCTGATTCGACGGATCACCAGGTCCACGGCTACTGTCATGTTGATCTTGCTCTCCTTGGTCTCTGTGTTTAAAGTTTCCAAGGCTGGGTCCGAAGGATCCCAGCTTCCGGAGATGTTGTAGCTCTGACGGTCATTTAAAGGCTGGCTGTTGCTCTGTAAGTTTAGTTATTATATAACTTTTTATTGAATCAATATTTTTTAACCGGATAAATTTTATCTTATTAAGAATATTGAAATCTACAAATTTTAATCCAACTTTTTTTTTAGGACCCATAATTAATTAAATAAAAATAACTTAACGATCCAAATTTTCAATTTTTTTGGTTTATAAACTTTGATCGCAAATTAAAAATAGATAAATAATTATTTTTATGTCTTCGCCGGCATTTTTAGAATCCTTAATGTCTGAACTTAAGATGCATTATTTTTTTTTTGAAAAAAAAATTTTTTTGGATAAATTTTCAGCGCCCCCAACTCAAAAAACCCATTTTTTAAAGAATTTTCCAAGTATTTGACTTTTAAAGCTGTATAACTTTTTTTGGAATCAAAATTTTGAAACCGGACAATTTTTGTCTTAAAGAGGAGACAATAACTACAACTTTTGTCCCAAAAGTTTTTTTTTTAGGAACAATAGGAACCGAGATGAAAATTATTTAAAGTTAATTAGTTCAAAATTTCAAATTTTACAATTTTTTAAACTTTGATTAAGGATTAAAAATAGATAAATAATTATTTTTATGTCTTTGCCGGAATTTTTAGAATCCTTAGACCTTCAGCTTTGAAACCCACTACACCTTTTTAGAAAAAAAAATTTTTTTCGCAAAGTTTTCAGCGTCCCCAACTCAAAAAACTCATTTTTGAGGAATTTTCCGTGTTTTTAACTTTTAAAAAGCCATAACTTTGTTTCTAATAAAAATTTTTAAACCGGACAAATTTTGTCTCAAAGAGAATGTAAGCTACAACTTTCGTTCCAAAAGTTTTTTTTGGACCAATAGGGACTGAGATAAAAATTATTAAAGATTGATTGTAAGATCCAAATTTTAAACTTTACAATTTTTTTAAACTTTGACTTGAGATTAAAAATATTAAACTAATTATTTTTATGTCTTCGCCGGGATTTTTATCATCCTTAGACCTTCAACTTTAAGACCCACTATTTTCGGAATATTCCGAGATTTTGATTTTAAAATTGCTATAACTTTTTTTGTAATCAAAATTTTTGATCCGGATAATTTTTATCTTATACCGGGAACTCTAAGGTACAATTTTGGCTCAAAAGTTTTTTTCTAAAATCAATTGTTTCTTTAATAAAAATAGTCTTTTAAAAAAACAGATCCAATCGAATTTTTTCAAGAATTTCCGAGTTGTTGTTCTTAAAAATTACATAACTTTTTTTGTAATCAAAATTTTGGAACCGGATAAATTTTTCCTTGTAGAAGAGACAATAAGCTTTTTAAATAAAAATAAAAACTCACCTTTTTTTCGGTGTGCATCTCCAAGAGCCGCATATCGCTATGTCGAACATTTCTCCCAGGACTGACTAGAACCCCGAAGCAGCGCTCAACTTCGAGGATAACACCGCCTTCTTTACTCGCGACCTGCTGGATGCTCAAGCAAACCTGCTTGGCAACGTTGCTCCGCAATTTAAAGCAGCTCCTGTCTTTGGGAACAGTGTGGAAGCCACCGCGGCCATCTTCTTCTTTCAGTTCCATGGTCACTTCAAAAATAAACACCCTGGAGTTGGTTTTTTCATTGAGACTGGAAAAATCACTTGGAGTCAATGAACTGGTCAGCGACTTGGGGATCCTCTGGAAGGCTTTAGCGAAGCACGAAGACACCTGGCCAACGGCCTCGGGGATGTCGCAGCGGAACACGTGGCACTGGAATATGGCGGACTCCAGAGTGTCGCCGTGGGACCAGGTGAAGGCGAAGCACGCCGAGCAGGGCCCGGTACAGTCTCCTCTCACGTAGAACAAGATCCGCTGGACTTCGTAGGACGCCATTGGCTGGTGAGTGCTCGCGTCTCTCAACACCACGGAGCCCGAGGAACTGCTCGGGATTGAGACAGACACCTTGATCTCCAGGCTCTCCTTCAGCTCCGCTGACAAGATCGCCATGTTCCGTTGGATCTCTGTTTCCGACTTTGGAGCGTTAATCCCCGCCGCACCGAAGTAAGTCACTCCGCTGAAGACTGTGCAGTCCTCCGTGGTCTCCTCGTAGTCTTCCGGCTTCATCTCGTCGGTTTTTTCCGGCAGCAGGTCGTAGAATTTGCTGTGGCCTACTTTTGTTACCTGCGTTGGGATCACTTCTAATTCTGGACTCTCCATTTTTTCTTCTGTCAGCACCTAAAGTTTTTTTTTTTTGTGGTGAGTATTTTTAATTTTATTATTAAAGTTTTTAGTTTAAAAAAATAAAATAAAAAATTTAGAATTTAATAGAAACTTTGATGATTTATTGTTTATTAAAATAAATTTATATAATAGAAAATGTTTTTAAATTAAAATTTTTTAAACTGAAAAATTTAAAGAATAATCATTTATTTTTGATTGAAATTAATTTATATAATAATTAAATCGGAAAATAATTTTTATTTGTTATGCTTTAGTAGGTAAATGTTTAGAAAAAATTTTTTTTTTTGCTTTAATTAGTTCATCAAATTTTTTTTAATTATCAAACTTATTAAGATGTTTTTATATTAGTTGCCATACGCTTGTACTTGTGAGAAAAATTATGTACTAAATGCCATCTAGTGGCGCTTTTAAAAACTAAATTTAAAAATTATTATATTATAAAAAACTAGTAAACTTGCAGTCACTTTGTGACTGCCGTGACTTGTGAACTATAAATAAAATTTTGCTTTATTAAATAATGACTTTTGTTAAATTGCACTGTACTATTCTTAACTATTGAAATTTTTAAAGATATAAGCTCATCTCGAGAATAAACTCATCAAGAGCTTTCATTTGAGTACCCACATCAATTTTTGATATATTTTTCATATGTACATATATATAATATATATAATAAATATATGAAAAATTAATGTGGGTACTTAAATGAAAGGTCTTGATGAGTATAACGTCCAGATGAGCTTATATCTTCAAAAATGTCAATAGTTCACGAGATACAAGGTTATTTTTTAATTATTGACATTTTTAAAGATACAAGTTCATCACGATGTTATTCTTATCATGAGCTTTTATTTGAGTACCTACATGCATTTTTGATATATTTTTCATATATACATATATATAATATATATAAATATATAAAATATATGAAAAATTGATGTGGGTACTCAAATGAAAGGTCTCGATGAGTGTAACATCAGGATGAGCTTATATCTTTAAAAATGTCAATAGATCTTAATATACAAAGTCATTTCTTCAATATTGACATTTCTAAAGATATAAGCTCATTATATCAAAAATGCATGTAGGTACTTAAATGAAAGCTCTTGATAAATGTAACATCAGGATGAGCTTATATCTTCAAAAATGTCAATAGTTCTCAAGATACTCGATCACTTTTTAATTAAGTATCTAGAGATATTTTTAAATCGAAATTTTTATAAAAAATTTTAATTAAAATCTCAAAAGTAAGGTTAAGATTATTAAAAAAAAAAAAATTAAATAAATAAATAAATACCTCGCGTAAATTATTCTGAAGATCTTCTAAATTGCCATTATTAGCAATCTTGAGCATAGGTGGCTGAGGCTCGAGAATGCCATTAGATGGCTTGGAGTCTTTCTCGTTAACAAATTCGTACTCGTCGCTCGTTGCTACCGATTCCAGTGACTTAACGCTCAAGCTATCCTCCATAACTGAGCCTGGAGACGGAGATTTAGAAATTCAGACACTTCTGAGACATTATTTGAGGTGATATTATTACGAATTTTAATATCCAGCATCATGACACTCTAGACACGTCAATAATTATCAATATGTCGTCGCAAAAATATTAATGCAATTTTAATTACTATTTCTATTAATTACAATCACAATAATTAAAAATTAAAAAAAAAATTTTTTATGTCAATTTTTCCAATAATTTATTTTTTATAAAAATTAATTAATTAATTTTAATTAGTCAATACTTACTCATAAATCACCTGGATAATGCAAGCGAATCATCATTTTTTTGTAAAATCGATCCAACTTTTTATTTTTTACTTTTATTTATTTTTTTATCCCTCTTTATTTTACAATTTTACAATTACATTTTATTATTATTATTATTATTATTGTTAATAATAGTCAACGTTTTATTATTTATTTATTTTTTTCTGCAGAGTTATCAAGCCCAGACTGGCCTTCTAATCACAATCGGGAGATTCAGGGAGTTTTTTTTAGAAAACACTAGCGTCGGCGGCCATTTGTCGGTTGTTGTGTCAAAACCGGAATCCGCCATTTTTGTTTTTTAAATTTATTTATTTTTTTTTTTCTAATTAAAATATGAATTTTATTTATAAAATTCTTTGTTTAAGGAATAGTTTGTTATTTTTTAGAAAATACTCTTGAAATTTCGGTGGAAATTTGGCGGGAAATTTGAATTGAAAAAAAAAATTTTTTTCTAATTAAAGCGATTTTTTTTTAATTTAAAGGAAAATTGGAAAATTTATTTAATTAAAAGAAAAGTTTCTTAATAAAAATTAATTAATTTTATTTTTATAAAGAAAATTTGACAAGATTTAGAAATTAAAAAAAAATTTAATTTTTTTTATAAATAATAAAATTTTCCAGTTTTTCCAAAATAAAATTTTCCACTTAGGAAAAACTCGGAAAATTTTCTAAAATTTTCCTGAAAATTAAAAAAAAAAATTTAAATAATAAATTTATTAAAAAAAATTTTCCAACTTTTCATGAAAACTCGGAAGAAAAGTCTCGGAAAACTCGAAAAATTAAATTACCTAATACCGATAAAATCACACCCTGTTTTACTAATCAAGACTTCCGACTGAAAATGGCGGAAAAATCAATACAGTCTCTAATACAATAAATATACAATTACCCCCTAAAATTTTCCAACAAAGAATCTAGTGACTAGTCCAAAGTACAGTTGTCATTATCAACCATGTTAATAATCGCTAATTAAACCGATAAACTAAATAAAAACAACAAAATATTTCCCGGAAAATAAAAATGTATTTAAATAAGTAGTTAAATGTTGTCCCACTACTATGGACATTTTCCTGATGCTAATTTTGGCTGTGATAATATTTTCATGTGGCGTGATATGTACCCTGGTGATCGAGTTTTATTTAGTGAAAAAGTACTTCGAGTCCGGACCGGAGTCAAAGTCTCCGGAGAAGCCAACCAAGTGTTATGGAAAAGCCGAATTACCTGACCAGCTCCTGGAGTCGATCGACGAGCTTAAGGAGAAGTCCCGCGGGCATTACCCGTCGCAGGGAAACGAGAACCTGGCGATAAACCTGACCCTGCAGTTCCTGTTCAACGAGCTGAAGAACGCCGAGCGGGTCAGGTTGTGGCTCACCCGGAAGCTCAACAACGAGTTTAAAGAACTGCTGACGCAAAGTACCACCAGAAGAGTTTTCGACAGTGTCCAGGTAGGTTTGCACTAGGTCGATTATCTCGAAAAGCGCCTGGAGTACTTCGACGGCTAAGTACTCATCTTGTAGGAAATTAAACGGGCTACAATTTTGGTCTCTTAGTCTTTTTCCGTAGGACGCTTAGTTTCGAAGTTACAGGCCTTTAAAAAAAAAAAAAAAAAATTTTATTTTCAGCTCCGCGACCTGTACCTGGGGAGCCAGTTCCCGACGATCAAGGGCCTGGAGGTTGCAAACGCAGTGATCGACAAGGACACCGGCCTCCTGGAGACCCTGGACCTAGCCCTTGACCTTCATTATTCCGGGAACTTCCAGCTGTCGATAGACGTCAAGATGTTCCGGGGCAGAACCGCGAACTTGTCTTTGCAAGTTAAACAAATCTCGGGAAAAGCTCGGCTGCAGTTCACCAGGATTCCGTACACACATTGGTCATTAAGCTTCTACACGGAACCTATTATCTGTTAATTTATTCAAATCATTATTTTGCGGTACTATTTTTTACAAATATCTTAAATTTCAGTTCTTATCAATTTGAGACATCCGATTCAGAAAATTAGTCAACTGTTGAGACGCAATACTGGAATTTTCATCCGCAGTGGCAAAAGTTAACAAATTTTGAAAACATTTCTTAAAAGGCATCTAAGCATCATTACCTTGACAGAGAAATCATCGACTTCAGTCTGATTGCAATAAATATTATACGTAATATTAAGAATATTATATATATTCTATTTATAAATATATCATATTTAAATTGAGTATTAATCACTCCTAGAGAGAACTAATATATATATATTTGCAGGTAAGTAGTTGATAAAGAAATAACGAAATTTAAATAAATATACCATAGATATAAATTTTTTTTATTTATATTAATCTCTTATATTATTAAACTACATATGATTATTTATAGATATTAATAAAACATTTTTTTTTATTCCAACACATAAAACAATAAAACTACTCTAATCTCTCGCGTATTTGGACTAAATACTTTAGATTTTGATTCAATATCATTAATTTGTGTCCAAGTATTATTTAGAGATCTAGTGTAAGCAACATAATGTCCTACGCCTTTTGTCAATACTGGTGGGACAAATTCAATTAGACCACATAATATAAATTTCTTATTCAGTACATCTAAGTTTTTAGGTATTTCTTCGAGATTGTATGATTCTCTTTGTTGTTTATCTAAATTTTTAAAATATATTGACGGTTCGTAAAAGTGAGCAATATTAAGGCATAAATAAGAAGTGATGTTAATTGTTTTGTTGGCTGATATACTCTGACACTTATCACACAAGTAAAGATTTTTTTTTTTCAATTCTTGACAAATACTATCTTTTAACGACTTAAATCCATTTTCCCAAACCAATGCAGCACTAATATTTAACACAGGATCCTTAACGGTTTTAATGTAATTACATGCATTATTTTGACAACAACTTTGTTCAGTATTACAATCCAATTCATGCATAATTCGTGCAAAAACTTCCGAAACATCATCTCTACAATTTACAGTACAATTTTCTGTTGGATATTTATCACTTAAATAACTAAGCCGTTTTTTGTTAAAAGCAACATTAGCACCAAACTTAGCATAATGCAGTAAACATGAAAAAAAAGAATTAGGTTTTACTTGAGAATCTACAAAATTTTTAAAATTATTGTAATTAAGATAAGTAAAGGATAGAATTTCCATCAAGCTATCAAAAGGACAGGTATTATATAGAGTTAATTTTTTACCTTTAATTGGATATGCAGGAATGAACATACCGTTACTGATAATTTTTTTCTTAGATTTTGTTTTTCTCGATTTCTTATCTCGCAAATTATCATGATGAACTTGAACTTCTGGAAAAGGAGTTAAATATTTCCCCCGTTTTTGTTGTGGACCTAAATCTTTTGCATCTATGTCTTTTCTTTTTTTTGACAATTTATTACACTTTAATTCAAAACGGGGCTGTTTTGATTCTAATTGAATAGAAAAATTGTTTTCAGATTTTTGTTCTAAAATAAGGCAAGTACTATTGATAGATGATGATACCAAATGCTTATTTGGAGAATCGATTGGAGATTCTGATAATTTAATTTTATCATCGATAATTACATTTTCATTTTTTATTGGAGTAGAGGCAAATACTGGTTTCGGTAAACTATCTTCATTAAACTTAATATCAGAAATTACCGTTGATTCCTCAACCGCAGCTTCACTGTCTTCAGAACTTGAAATAGAAACATTCTCCGGCTTAACTTGATTTTTCCAATTTTCTTGTAAATTGAATATGCTGTCAATTTTTATTTTATTGCGTTTTTTATTTTTGTCTTTATCTGATTGTTTTTGCTCTATTTTTAATAATTCAATAGCAGCTCTTGCTTCTTTTGTTTTAGCCCAAATTGTTCTTATGTGTTTAATTAAAAATTTATCTACACGTAAAGGCTGGTGACTTTCTAATAAATTATTCTTAACAAATTTGAAATAATTTTCAGATCGAGCTGATGATGGAACATTATTACTGCAATTATAATGAGGTTTCATCACATTTGACCATGATGGAAATTTTTTTAATAATATTTTCAAATCAGGTACAATTCCAGGATGGTAATAGCTATTAATGTCGTTATAATTAATTGATTTATTTGAAGAATTATTCATACAAGTTTCAGTTATTAAATTATCGATAAAATTACTTAATTCATCATTTTCTTCCCAGAAATGTTCAATGTCATCTAAGTTAATAAATTCTTCTTGGCAAGATAGGTGAACTTCACATAAATTTTTTTCTGAACAAGAACTATTGTGTTTTAAATCTTTATAATTAACACTATCGTCAAATTTGAAAGTTTTTATTTTATCTAATAACCATTTAATTTCCTCAGAACAACCATAATTATTTTGACAAATTTTTAATACTGCTCTCATCAATTTAGTAATCATTTCCAAGTTATTTGCAGTAGTCATTAAACCCAGTGCTCGTAAATAAAAATCCTTTACAGCCAGATTAGTTTTAGCAAAACTACTTAAACGTGAAACCCAGTGTATAAAGTGTGCTATGTCTATACGCAGGTAAGGTTTCATTAAGACTTTACTTTTATTAATCAAAAACCGATAGCACATTGATAAATATTGATTATATGTGATATTATTTGTAGCTAAACAAATTGCATTTTGTAAAGGCTTTGACATATCTGTGACTATTTCTAATGGAATTTTAGCTTTGTTGGAAAGCCATTCTTTTAGCCAAAATTCTATTATTTTTGTATCATGTCTTTCAGAAAGCATTTGACAAACCGGTACGATTAATTTACCAATGTAGGTTACGATTTGATACAAAAAAATTGGCCCATTAGAATAATTATCTTGGCGTAGAATTCTTCGAGCTATACTACCTGAAGCATCAATAGAAACAGCAGGTTCCAAAGTTAGCAAGTCATTAAAAACATCAATCTGCTCAGGTGTCCAATAGAACAAGAAAAATTTATCAAATCCCAGCTGCTGAAATGCTGATCGAAATTCTACATTGTGTTTTAATTCACTCAAAGATTCCCACAATGTACCTTTTATGCCTAAATCTTCATTAATTGCTTCCTGTTTGATTTTATGACAGGCAGTTCTGTTCGGTATGATTGGAGGCATTTGCTCACCATATTCGTGGAATTTATGTATCAATCTTTCTCTAAAATTTTCGGCTTTCGTCATTTTCAATTCTTTTTTAAATTCGTCTCGTAATGGTCCAGACACATGTCTTTTTTTTTTATGAGCAATTTCTTTCGTATCTAAAGTCATAATATTAATAGAAATATTACCTTTCTGACTCAGTTTATATGTGCCTTCACCGTAAATGGCAGCTTTGCAGTTTTTTTCGGTGCAAAATCCATCCAGTTTAATTATCATATTATCATCCGTATCAGTAGAATCATCTTTAAAAATATTATGAGTTTTTAAATTGAATGCACAGGGCAATTTTTTATCTAAATAGATCATTTCGCAAACTATATGCGTCCACCCGTTTTGAAATTTAAAGTATGACTTATTATTTTTGTCAAATTTTTCAACGGGTTTTATTAACGACCACTGCGCTTCGGAAAAAGTAATTTGAAAATTGAGAATTTTATTTCTGGACGGATGATTTTTATTTTGTGGATGAAGAGTAAAGTCATCTGATATTTGTTCAGAGGTTTCATCAGAATGTCTCTCTTCATGCTGATTACTCTCTTCAATGGAGTCATCTTTTTTTTTTGTAAAAATTTCACCACGATACTTTTTGTAGCTCTCGTAAATTCCATTCCGATTCTGATAAACATAAAAATATAAGTTGACCGGTTCCATCCGATAGTTTTCAGAATCGTACATCCAATGTGAGCAAATTTCAATCCACACATGATCTTTTTTCGACTTTAATTTATCGTCACTTTTGCACAGTTCAAAATTTTTAATAACGTCAAAAATTTCGAAATGAGATACAGAAGCCCAAGATGTCATTTTTCAATAAATAATACACATTTATTTAATAATACAAACAGTAAACAATTACATCGCAACAATCACTATTTCTAAATGGACGCTATCCTGATCGTCAATTGTTTAATGATTGTAAAACAAAAAAAAACAGTAAGGCGCGAAATTTAATAAATGAATAATAATTTATTGATAATTGCAATAAAATTCTAAATTCTAAATATCAAGCATTTTTTGTACTTATTTAATTTTTATTAATTTTGTTAATGTTAAATAAAAAAAAATTTTATTTATAAATTAGCTTAATACTTATACATATGTAAGTTATTTATATGTATAACTTACATAAATATATTACACAATAGATCCTGGAACTGGAGGTCCAGAGCCACTTTCAAGGCCGTCAGCTGAAGCCGCAGATCGTGGCACCGATCATAACTCAGATCCGTCGCGCAATTCAGAGAAAACACACCCTTCCGCAGTACAAGATGCGCTACAAGCCGTTCTTCCGTCGGCTGAACGACGAGGACATTGACCTGGCTGAAGTGTGTGCTCAGCTGACTCCAGGGCAGCTGGACGTCGTCCTCGTGGAGGTTAGCCGCCTAAATCTGGCCCAGAGTAACCTTTCTCTGGAGGATTTGTCGCTGATTGAAGTTTACTGCACGGTTAGTGTAGATTCTACACCCTGGGTCTACCTGACGCAGTACAACGGCGTCCCCTACATGGTTCTCGACTTAATAATCAGCAAGAGCAACAATCACCAGCTGGGCGTTGTCTTTAAACAAGAAACAATCCCCGAAATCGGTCAGAACTGCGTTGTGGTTGAAACTATCGTCGCGGGGAGCGCAGCGGGGGTCGCAGAAATGCGCAAGGGCGATATCTTGGTCTCCGTCGACGGTAAAAAGGTCGGGAACATGAACCAGGTTGGTAAATTGGTAAAAAATGCCGCTCAGAGGAGGTTTGTCATTCGCGTAGAGCGAAAATACACGAAAAACGACGAAGATACTGCTGCGCATGCGCAGGGACTGTTCCATCCTGCGCAAAACCTGTTCCAGGGCTCTGCGCATGCGCAAGGACTGTTCCACGGTTCAAAAAGCAAACACGAGCCGCAAATTAAGTTCTCGGAGCTTAAAGACCATCACTCGGACAATGAGACGCCCAGTTCCGGGGAAAGTGGGATTAAATTGTTCCGTCGGCGCAAGAGCAGCGTCCATGTACCTGAAGAATCCCTCGAGCACCTGACCAGGAGGATTTCGACGATCAGCAACCTGTCCTCGGGGTCTAGCAATGCTTGGAACGATGAACTGACCATCAACGACCTGACCTCGATGACCAAGGAGAAGGTCTACGCGTCGACGATAACCTTCGAGGAGTCCAGGACCTATCAGATTGATTCAGAGTTCCTGTACCTGAACGTCGGAGTCTGGGCGAGGCTCAGGGGCGGAGAATTTGCGCCCAAGATTCTAGGGTACCTCAATGTTCCGATAAAACTTGTTCTCAGTCAGTGTTCCACGTCGACTACCGGGTTCTACTTGAAACCTCAACCCCTACTCCCGCCTGATACAGGTGAGTTAATTTTGAAGTTAAAAAGGTTAAATGGTTATTGGAACTGTTCTTTCAGCTTCGTTCGCGTCACTCAATTCTAAACTTCAAGGATACTCAGGGTTTGATCCGAGTCTGTGTTATGGAGACATTTTGTTGTCATACAGATGGACGTCTAATCAAACTAAGCGTCGCAATGCTAATGGAGACTCAGCTAAACGAGAGGAAGTTAATAAAAGTTCTCCTGTTGCTGCTGGGGGCGATGCTGGGGAAAAAAAATTACATGATTTTATTCGTACGCACTTTCATCGAGCTACTCATTGTGATTTTTGTTCTAAAAAGGTAAATATTGAGCTAGAAATTGTGAAAAACTAGAAAAGTTCTACTGCGCATGCTCAGTAAAAACTGTTCCAAGCTATTGCGCATGCGCAAAAGCTGTTCCAAGATACGGCGCATGCGCAAAGACTGTTCCAAGCTGCGCAAAGGCAGTTCTGAGCTATTACGCGTGCGCAAAGACTGTTCCAAGCTGAAATTTACTACTTTGAAGGTTTTTTAGATAAAAAAAATAATAAAAATTTTGTAATTTTTCACAGATATGGTTAAAAGATGCAATTCAATGCCGAGATTGCGGAATGGTGTGTCACAAAAAATGTCAAGCGCGTTGTCAAAGTACAACATCCTGCGGAGCAGAAAGTCTGACGAACCTAGCCTTCGAAGTCGATGAACTAACAGATGGCTCCACTAATTCCTCGCTGGGAGACGTCAATCCTGAAATATCACTGACCGGGTGTGAAGAAAACGTTCAGGTATACCTCGGGGCCACCAACATCAACTCATAGTACAAACTTCCATTTTTTAATTTAATTTATTTTCGCTTTGTTTTTATTTTTTTAATCAGCCTATATTTATTATAATTACGTTTGTAAAAATATAATAAAATATCGAGACTATTTATCTGGCTTTGATTTTTGTAGATTATATATTTCAATTCGCTAATTATTCATTAATTTTATTAAAGAGCATTTATTTAGATACAGACAAATTAATTACCATTTAGGGGGTGGCTGTCAAGGCCAGTGCTATTGCTAACTCTTTGCTGGGGCTTAAGAAAGCTGGGAGTACTAGTAACTTGGCGCCACCTACGTCTTCTGGTGGGAGCGGATCAAGAAGCTTGCCTCCCAGTCCTTGTTCCAGTCGGAAAGTGAGTTTTATACTTAATTCTTAGTAGAGTAGACTTTAAAGAACTATAACTTTTTTTCTAATCAAAATTTTGGAACCGGACTAATTTTGTCTTAAAGAGGAGACAATAAGTTACAACGTTAGCCCCAAAAGTTTTTTTTTAGGAACAATAGGAACCAAGATAAAAATTTTTGAAAGTTAATTAGTTCAAAGTTTCAAATTTTACAATTTTTTAAACTTTGATTAAGGATTAAAAAAAGATAAATAATTATTTTTATGTCTTCGCCGGCATTTTTAAAATCCTTAGACCTTCAACTTTAAGACCCACTACAACTTTTTAGAAAAAAAAATTTTTTCCGCAAAGTTTTCAGCGCCCCCAGTTCAAAAAACCACTTTTTTGGGGAATATTCCGAGTTTTTGATTTTAAAAATGCCATAACTTTTTTTATAATCAAAATTTTTGATCCGGACAATTTTTATCTTATACCGGGAACTCTAAGCTACATCTTTGTCCCAAAAATTTATTCTAAACTCAATAGTTTCTTTAATAAAAACTCTTAAATTTGAATTTTCCAGAGTTCACTAGTAGGAGGCTTAGGAATCAGTCCAGACCTGCTAGAAGGCGCAGAACCGAGCGTAGCAAGCCCTCTGGTGGCTGGAGAACTAAACGAGGGTCTAATGTCTCATGCCAAAGAAACCGGAAAATTTTTGTACCGCGACCTGGAGCCAAATGACCGAATTGACAAAATTAATTTCATGGTAAGGATTTTTCAAAATTATTTTTTATTAATTGTAATTATTAAAATTGATAATTTTAATTCCAGATGGGAAAATTAAAGGCGGCCTTGGACGTCGAGTCAAGTTCACGTTTAGAGCTGTCGCAATCGGGAGACTCAGACAGCGCAAAATTGATAGCTCAGAGTGATTTACGCGTTCAAGCACTGTCAGTTCTTTTGCTCCACTATTGTGCGGGCCTACAACATGCGCAAGAGTTCAAACAAACGGCCTAATCGTTGCTTTAGCGTCAATTTAAACAAAATTATAATGTCAATTGCAATTAATAAAAAACCAAAACATAATTACTATTACTGCACCGAAGAACACCAATATAAGCTTTATTTATTAAATATTGTCTTGTGTTTTGCACAGTGTATATTATATCGATGTTGTCAAATATATATTAGATTATTAAAATAAAATTTTATTGATAAATTAATTAAAATTCAAAATTTCTAATTTTACTACTTTTTAAATTTGACTTTAAATTTAAAATAGACAACTAATTATTTTTATGTCTTCGCCGGCATTTTTAGAATCCTTAAAGTGTCAACTTTAAAAGCCACTATGATTTTTTTGAAAAAAAAAATTTTTTGGACATGTTTTCAGCGCCCCCAACTCAAAAAATCCATTTTTTGAGGAATTTTCAATGTTTTTGACCTTTGAAGCTGTATAACTTTTTTTGGAATAAAAAATTTGGAACCGGACAAATTTTTTCTTAAAGAAGAAACAATAAGCTACAACTTAGTACCAAAAATTAATTTTTAGGACCAATAAGAGCTAAGATAAAAATTATTAAAGATTAATTGCAAGATTCAAATTTTAAACTTTTCAATCTTCTAAACTTTGATTTAAGATTAAAAATATTAAACTAATTATTTTTATGTCTTCGCCAGCATTTTCATAATCCTTAAAGTCTCATCTTTAAGATACACTATAATTTTTTTGAGAAAAAAATTTTTTTGGACAAATTTTCAGCGCCCCCAACTTCAAAAATTCCTTTTTCAAGGGATTTTCCCAATATTTGTCCTTTGAAGCTCTATAACTTTTTTTTTAATCAAAATTTTTGAACCGGACAAATTTTGCCTTAAAGAAGAGACAATAAGCTACAATTTTGTACCAAAATTTTTTTTTTAGGACCAATAGGACCTAAGATAAAAATTATTAAAGATTGATTATAAGATCCAAATTTTAAACTTTTCAATTTTTTTAACTTTGACTTCAAATTAAAAATAGACGACTAATTATTTTTATGTCTTCGGCGGGATTTTTATCATCCTCAAAGTCTCAACTTTAAGATACACTATAATTTTTTTGAAAAAAAAATTTTTTTCACTAAATTTTCAGCGCCCCCAACTTCAAAAATCCCTTTTTTAAGGGATTTTCCCAATATTTGACCTTTGAAGCTCTATAACTTTTTTTTGAATCAAAATTTTGGAACCGGACAAATTTTGCCTTAAAGCTGAGACAATAAGCTACAACTTAGTACCAAAAATTAATTTTTAGGACCAATAGGAGCTAAGAAAAAAATTATAAAAGCTTTAAAATGACCAAAAGATAATTATGTCCAAAAAATGAAACAAAGCTGAAGCGTCGCCAGATAAATTCATTGACTCCTCGAAGGTCACAAATAAAAACGGAAACTTCCACGAGCGTCATCCACAATTTTTGTAATTTTAATTTTAAATTAAAGCCAAAACTCATGGGGATTTGTTCTATTTTTGCCGACAACGCAGAATCTTTTGGCTTTGGGCCAGCCGTTTGTCAATTTTATTCCGTATTAAGTAATTACCTCTTTATTCCCTCTCCTAAATTTATTTGAATTAATAAATTAATAAATTAATTAATTAGTTAGTTATAAAAGAAAAAATTGAATTTTTTCATTAAAAAAAAAAAATAATTTATAATTTTATTTACTTTTTTAAACAAAGTCAGCTGACTGACATGTGCAAGGTGCGTTGCCCGGTGGGAGATATATATCATAGCGGGAAAGCTTAAATAGCCCTGGTGGTCTTTATTCAAGGCAGTCACTCTCAGTTCCTCACTCCGATTATTTATTTTTATTTTTATTTTTATTGTTTGCGAGTTCAGTGTTTAGGTAACAAGTAACTTGTTTTGTGAAAGTTGTTCAACACTGAAGCGTTTATTTTTTTATTTTATTGTTTTATTTATTAATTTTTTAATTCATTAATAATGAAGCCGCCACACGAAAACGCGGAAGGTGTTATCGCACAGTTGTCTCAAGAGGAAGGCGAGAGGAATGTCGCTACTGCTATCTGCGTACAATTAGCTGGACGCGCTATTATTAGGGTCGTGTCCAGGTGTGAAGAAGCTCAGGATAATTGTAATTTAGGTATTTTTTTTTTATACTTTAAATTCCTTTAATTTTTTTTTATTGTTAATAAATAAATAAATTAATTAATTAATTAGTTACCTAATAAATAAATAATATTTGTGAACCGGATAAAAGTTAGTCTTAAATAAAAAAAAAATGTAAATTATAATATTTTTATGTCTTTGCCGGTATTTTTAGAATCTTCAGACCCTAAGCTTTGAAAATTAATATAAATTTTTGGAAAAAAAAATTTTTTTTACTAAATTTTCAGCGCCCCTAAAAAATCCATTTTTTTAAAGAATTTTCCATATTTTTGACCTTTAAAGGTTTATAACTTTTTTTGGAATTAAAATTTTAAAACCGGATAAATTTTGACTTAAAGAAGAGAATATAAGCTACAACTTTTGTCCAAAAAATTTTTTTTAGGAACAATAGGAACCGAGATAAAAATTATTTAAAATTTATTAGTTCAAAATTTCAAATTTTACCATTGTCTAAACTTTGATTAAGGATTAAAAATAGACAACTAATTATTTTTATGTCTTCGCCGGCATTTTTAGAATCCTCAAAGTCTCAACTTTAAAATCCACTATAATTTTTTTGAAAAAGAAATTTTTTTCTCAAAATTTTCAACGTCCCCATCTCAAAAAACAAATATTTTCAAAATATCACCGTTTATATTCATTAAAAAGCTTATAACTTTTTTTTGAATCAAAATTTTGGAACCGGACAAATTTTGTCTTAAAGAAGAGATTATAAGCTACAACTTTTGTCCTAAAAGTTTTTTTTAGGAACAATAGGAACCGAGATAAAAATTATTTAAAATTAATTAGTTCAAAATTCCAAATTTTACAATTTTTAAACTTTGACTTTAAAAATAGATAATAAATTATTTTTATGTCTTCGCCGGCATTTTTAGAATCCTCAAACTCTCAACTTTAAGATGCACTATAATTTTTTTGAAAAAAAAATTTTTTTGACTAAATTTTCAGCGCCCCCAACTCAAAAAACCCATTTTTTAAGGAATTTTCCTAATATTCTACCTTTAAAGCTCTATAACTTTTTTTGGAATCAAAATTTTGGCACCGGCCCAATTTTATCTTAAAGATGAGAACTTATCCTACAATTTTTGACCCAAAAATTTTTTTTAAACTCAATAATTTCCCAAAAAAAAATTATCAAACCAAAATATTACTTACAAACTTTTGATCCAACTTTAAACGTCTATAACTTTTTTTCTAATTAAAATTTTGAAACCGGGTAAATTTTATCTTAAAGCTTAGACTATAAGCTACAACTTTTTTCCAAAAATTTTTTTTTTAAACCAATAATTCCCAAAAAAAAAATTATCAAAAAAAATCAATAACCAAAAAATTAATTACAATCTTTTGATCCAACTCAAAACGTCCATAACTTTTTCTCTAATTAAAATTTTTGAACCGGCCAAAATTTATCTTAAAGAAGAGAATATAAGCTACAATTTTTACCAAAAATTTTTTTTTTAAATAAAAAATTTCCAAGTTATAAATTTTTTAGAAAATTTAAATATTTCGGCTAAATAATTTTTTACTCCGCAATAAATTTAATAAAAAAAAAAAAACAAATAAATAAAAAAAAAGACCTTGATACAGTTAGCCTGCCACACAAAAGAAATAAAGCAGTTTATTATCTTATTTTTATCTGGATAACTGCCCAATGCCATTGCCATATTTATATTTCCACATACGGTTTATTTATTTACTCGTTTCGTTCCTTTGTACCGCGTTTAATAAATTAAATGATTCATCTCGACTTTATTTTTTGTTCTAACGCATTTCCGGCGTCTATTTTTACCCACAAAGCACTCACTCAAGTTAGTAACGAAAGTAAGATGGCGTCGGCTGTTACGCGAGTTATTTTACGGTGTGAAGACGCTGAAAAAAACAGAAAACTCGGTACTAATATTTTATTTAATTAATTACCAATTTTTATTTAAGGAACACGCTAAAGTTCTTTGTTTTAAATAAGTTCCGCGTGCAAGCGAAAGCAAGTGAAAGTTTTTATTGTACTTCACTCTAATTACTTAACAGTTACCGCATTTTTACACCTATGCCCATCTTACCTCGTTTTAGTGCTAATTCATATTTGGCCTTCCGCGAGTCTAGCGTGGAATCCGCGAATTAATTCGCGGTTTTTTACTTTGTTTTAATTAAAAATTTATTGGGATTTTCTCGTTGCAGATTTGTCCGAGTGCCAGCTCATGCAAGTACCTGACGCTGTTTATCATCTTATGAGACACACGGAATTAAAGTCCTGCGATTTATCCGGCAATGTTATTACCAAGATACCTCCTAAGTTCGCGGTCAAGTTTTCGCTGATCACAGGTGAATTTTTTTTTTACTTTCAGGTACTGTATCTCTTTAAATATTGGAGATAGACCCATAGTATAGTAACGTTTTTTGTAGGAAATTTCCTAAGCTTTAATTTTGGTCTTATAAATTTTTTCCTAAAATTGATATTTTAGGAGTTATAGTCATTTTTCTAGTTACTAAATAATTTTTTTTTTTTTTCATTATTTAATTCCTACTAAAGTTACTATATCTCCTAAAATATTGAAAATAGACCCATAGTATAGTAACGTTTTTTGTAGGAAATTTCCTAAGCTACAATTTTGGTCTTGAAAATTTTTTTCTAAAATCAATATTTTAGGAGTTATAGTCATTTTTCTAGTCACTAAAAAAATTTTTTTTATATTCATTATTTTAATTCCTACTAAAGTTACTATATCTCCTAAAATATTAAAAATAAATCTATAGTATTGGAGTGTTTTGTGTAGAAAATTTCCTAAGCTACAATTTTGGATTCCTATGATTTTTTCCTAAAATCAATATTTTAGGAGTTATGGCCAATTAGCAAATAGATTAAAATATTAGACTTTTTTTTTATTAGGAACTACTTAAGTCATTATATCTCCTAAAATAATGGAGACAGACCCATAATATAATAACGTTTTTTGTAGGAAATTTCCTAAGCTACAATTTTGGTCTTAAAAATTTTTTCCTAAAATCAATATTTTAGGAATTATGGCGACTTTTACAATAACTAATAAAAAATTTGTTATTTTTGACATTGAAAATCAGGAATAACAATAATTTTTTTTCATTCCAGAACTTAATTTGAGTCATAATCAATTTAGCAAATTACCTGAGGAACTAGCGGAACTCCAGGAACTGGAGCGGCTGGACATATCTCACAACACATTCATCTCCTTACCACCTGTGACCTTCAGGATGCCGCAATTGAAGCGGCTACTCGCGAACAACAACTCCATAATCGGTAATTACTCGCTGAAATTTAACAATTAATTTAAAAATTATCAATCGGTAATTTTATTTAGACGTCGACGTGGATAGACTGAAGCTAGCGCCATCCTTAGAGCTGGTGGACTTGAGAGAAAACACAATCCCACCAAAAATCTACGACCAGCTTTCAAACTGCAGTTCCTGTAAGATAGAACTGTCGCCGAGGCAGGTCGAGGAGTGGGAGGACTTGACCGTCTAGGGTTAGGATAGTTATTAATTTATCAATATATATATATATGTGATATTTGCTCAATAGGTCAATGCATTTCATTGACAAGTATTGTTTTTGTGATCGTCAATGCATTTCACGCTGTGTTGACAAATATCACTACCGCTCTTTTTTAATTAACTCAGAAAGTAATTGATATTTTTTTATTAAGTAAATTTTATCTTAAACATCAATATTAAAGCTACAATTTTTGTCCCAAAAGTTTTTTTTTTAGGAACAATAGGAACCGAGATAAAAATTATTTAAAATTAATTAGTTCAAAATTTCAATTTTTTAAACTTTGACTTTAAATTAAAAATAGACAACTAATTATTTTTATGTCTTCGCCGGCATTTTTAGAATCCTCAGAGTCTCTACTATAAGACCCACTACAATTTTTTTGAAAAAAAAAAATTTTTTAATAAAGTTTTCAGCGCCCCCAACTCAAAAAACCCATTTTTTTTAAAGAATTTCCCGAGTATTTAACTTTTAAAGCTATATAACTTTTTTTGGAATCAAAATTTTGGAACCGGAGAATTTTTGTCTTAAAGAGGAGACAATATACAATTTTTGTCTCAAAAGTTTTTTTTTTAGGAACAATAGGAACCGAGATAAAAATTTTTGAAAGTTAATTAGTTCAAAATTTCAAATTTTACAATTTTTTAAACTTTGATTAAGGATTAAAAATAGATAAATAATTATTTTTATGTCTTTGCCGGCATTTTTAGAATCCTCAGACCTTCAGCTTTAAAACCCACTACAACTTTTTAGAAAAAAAATTTTTTTTCGCAAAGTTTTCAGCGCCCCCAGTTCAAAAAACCACTTTTTTGGGGAATATTCAGAGTTTTTGATTTTAAAATTGCTATAACTTTTTTTATAATCAAAATTTTTGATCCGGACAATTTTTATCTTATAAAGGGAACTATAAGCTACAAATTTTGATTAAAAAGTTATTTTTCAAGTCAATAGTTTCTGAGATATTTAAATAATAGAGCGGACTGTAAATCTGAAAATAAAGAGAATATATAAACTGCCTGATCTAAAAGAATAAAAACATTTAATTTGTACTTATCTATTAACTTAATCTAGTCATACAGATATTAGCGTAACTTAATTATAATTAATAATTATAATAATTATAATGACAAACTTTTATATTATTTAACAATACTAACTAAAGAATATTGTATTGAAATAAAATAAGTTTTTGACACTAAAAATGTTTTAGTACCTGTATTATTTTATTTTTTATTATAATAATAAAATTATAATATTACAATAATGTAATAATAATAATAATAATAATAATAATAATAATAATAATAATAATAATAATGTTGCCGAGTATCTACATACTTATAATGATAATATAAAATCACAAAATATACATATTAAAGATACGGTTTAGTGATCAAAATTATTCTCTGTACTGCGCAAATAATTGTGCTCTGAGTGACAATTTTGTCAGAAAGTAGGAAATTTTATTTCCTTAATGAGTTTTATGGCCTACTTTAAATCCAATTTTTGAGATTTGAAATTTGGTCATTTTTATTTGAAGATTAAAAATAGACAACTAATTATTTTTATGTCTTCGCCGGCATTTTTAGAATCCTTAGACACTCAGCTTTAAGCCCCATTATGAATTTTTTGTTAAATAAATTTTTTTTACAAAGTTTTCAGCGCCCCCAACCCAAAAAACCAGTTTTTTCAGTAATTATCCATGTTTTTAGTCTTTTAAACCTTATAACTTTTTTTCTAATTAATATTTTAGAACCGGACAAATTTTATCTTAAAGAAGAGAATATAAGCTACCAACTTTTGTCCTAAACATTTTTTTCTACGACCAATCACTTTTTTTATAAAAATTGTCAAAGTTTGAAAACCAAAAATTTGCAAAAAAAAATTCTTCAAACTTTTACCAGAGGATTAAAAATAGACAATTAATTATTTTTATGTCTTCGCCGGCATTTTTAGAATCCTCAGTCTTTAAACTTTAAGGTCCTTTATAAATTTTTTTGAAAAAAAATTTTTTTGACCAAGTTTTCAGCGCCCCCAACTCAAAAAACCTGTTTTTTGAAATACTTTCCGTATTATTTATATTTAAAGTTCAATAACTTTTTTTCTAATAAATATTTTTGAACCGGCCAAATTTTATCTTAAAGAAGAGAATATAAGCTACAACTTTTTCCCAAAATTTTTTTCTAAAGTCAATTTTTTTGTAACTAAAAATTAAAAACCAAATTCCCGATCTCAAAAAATTAGACTCAAAAAATCTTAAAATAATAATAATCACTCAGCGCACAATATGCAAGCTTAAATTAACAAATTACAATCTCCTGTACAGAGAAATAATAATTAAATAATTATAGCTAATTCTAAGCTACCCTTAGCCCTCCGTCATATATACATTTTTATTTATATATTTATAATATATATAATCTTTAATTTTTAATTTTTAATTAATAAAAAGGATACACGAATTTAATACCATATAAAAGCACACGTAGTGTGACAAGCACGCAATCGAGACAGAATGAAGCAGAGGATCCATTTTCTCTCGATTATAATTAATGATTAATCATTTTATATTTAATTAATTATTAATTATTACATAAGCACTTGGACTTTCTCTTATTGCGTGTTGTAAAATAATTGTTATGGTTTATAATAATTAATTAATTAATTAATAATTAATAATAGAGGAGTTACTTTAGAACAGATTGCACGATTAGCTTTATTTGTTCTTATCTGAGTATTAAATCGACTTACCCAATTAAAAACTGTTAGTACTTATTTTCTTTTTATTATATTAAGGGGCGTTAGGAGGTTAGGTGTCGAACAGCTGGTACTCTATGTACGAAGTCGGCACGAACCCTTCCACGGGATTGGACATTCGCCGCACCCGCGTCCAACCATCCCCTTGGTCCAGTTCTATCATGTAGAGCTCCTCACCGTCGTACATCGGGATTGATCCTTCGGATGTCCCTAAAATTACAGTTTTTTTAGAACCGGGTGAATATTGTCTTAAAGAGGAGAAAATAAGCTACAACTTCTGTCCCAAAAGTTATTTTTTAGGACCAATAGGAACCGAGGTAAAAATTATATAAAATTAATTAGTTCAAAATTTCAAATTTTTTAAAGTTTGACTTTAAATTAAAAATAGACAACTAATTATTTTTATGTCTTCGCCGGCATTTTTAGAATCCTTAATGTCTGAACTTGAGATGCATTATTTTTTTTTTGAAAAAAAAAATTTTTTTAATAAAGTTTTCAGCGCCCCCAACTCAAAATACTCATTTTTTAAAAAATTTCCCGAGTATTTGACCTTTGAAGCTGTATAACTTTTTTTGAAATTAAAATTTTGGAACCGGACAATTTTTGTCTTAAAGAGGAGACAATATACAATTTTTGTCCCGAAAGTTTTTTTAGGAACAATAGGAACCGAGATAAAAATTTTTTAAAGTTAATTAGTTCAAAATTTTAAATTATACAATTTTTTAAACTTTGATTAAGGATTAAAAATAGATAAATAATTGTTTTTATGTCTTTGTCGGCATTTTTAGAATCCTTAGACCTTCAGCTTTAAAACCCACTACAACTTTTTAGAAAAAAAAATTTTTTTCGCAAAGTTTTCAGCGCCCCCAACTCAAAAAACTCATTTTTAAGGAATTTGCCGTGTTTTTAACTTTTAAAAAGCCATAACTTTGTTTCTAATAAAAATTTTTAAACCGGACAAATTTTGTCTCAAAGAAGAGAATGTAAGCTACAATTTTGTTCCAAAAGTTTTTTTTTTAGGACCAATAGGAACTGAGATAAAAATTATTAAAGATTGATTGTAAGATCCAAATTTTAAACTTTACATTTTTTAAACTTTGACTTGAGATTAAAAATATTAAACTAATTATTTTTATGTCTTTGCCGGGATTTTTGTCATCCTTAGACCTTCAACTTTAGGACCCACTGCAACTTTTTAGAAAAAAAAATTTTTTTCGCAAAGTTTTCAGCGCCCCCAGTTCAAAAAACCACTTTTTTGGGGAATATTCCGAGAATTTGATTATAAAATTGCTGTAACTTTTTTTATAATCAAAATTTTTTATCCGGACAATTTTTATCTTATAAAGGGAACTATAAGCTACAATTTTTGAATCAAAAGTTTTTTTTTTGAACCAATAGGAACCGAGATAAAAATTAATAATGAAAAAAAACTCACCATCAAAAGGATAGAGAGCGCGACAGGTCCCAAGCGGGGGCTGAGCATCGAGTTCATCGACGTCATACTCCTCAGCATTGCTCCCAGGAAGTGACGTCCTTGAAGCACCAAGACCAGACTCCGGGCTATTCGTGGAACTGTGTATGAGTACGGTAAAATACCTCCGTTGCCTATTCGCTAAGCTACCGGCTAAAATTAATGAAATTGCTATAATTTACTTACTCGTGGGTGGGCTGAGGAGTGCTCGGGGACGTCGTATGCTTGTGCGCCTGAGCGTGTGCGTTCCCCACACTGGAATCCGACGCCGACCTGGAGAGGCTTTCTTCACCTCCTGAGTGACTCGATCGCCGAGAACTTACTCTTACAGATGAACCGTTACTCGTCGGGGCTTTTCTTTGCGCTTGACTCGGACTGTAATTAGTTAAAAAGGTTTGTATCTTGTGAACTATTGACATTTTTAAAGATATAAGCTCATCCCGATGTTACACTCATCGAGACCTTTCATTTGAGTACCCACATCAATTTTTCATATATTTCATATATTTATATATATTATATATATGTATATATGACAAATATATCAAAAATGCATGTGGGTATTCAAATGAAAGCTCTTGATGAGTGTAACATCAAGATGGGCTTATATTTATAAAATATATGTTATATATATATATATGTATATATGACAAATATATCAAAAATTGATGTGGGTACTCAAATGAAAGCTCTTGATGAGTATAACATCAAGATGAGCTTATATATTTAAAAACTATATAATTTTCTAATTTTTAATGCTTAATTAATAACTCACCTGGACAAACCGACTCCAGTTTTGATGGCATCATCGAGATAACCCTGAAACTTGATCAGCTCAGTCCCCAGCTTATCCAATTTTTGACCCGACTGGTTCAACTGTCCCTCTATGCTCATGGGGTCACCTAACGCGGGGTTCTGTTCATAAACTCCTTTCATCTTCATCAGCGCGTCCCTCGCGGCAGTTTCCTGCGCGATTTTCGCCTGGATCTCGTCCAGCCGCTGCTGGAGCCGCTTTTTTCGCTGGTTCGGCGGGAGGTCGCTGCAGTCCTCCTTCGCGCCGTCACCGTAACCAGGTACATTGTTCTGGAAAGTATAAACAGTCAGTTTATACTTTAAATAAACGGCTATTTTATTAAGCGGTTAAATAATGGACACAGTACGCAAATGTTTAAATAAAATAAAAAAAATTAATGCGTTGACAGACCTTTAAAGCTATGCACACCTCGATCAACTTCTGGCGATTGCGCATGAAACATATTATTAAGTAAGCTCATCATTCTTATGTTAATTAAGCGGTATGGTTATTATTTTTTAAGGTAAGTGACCCATCAGCCAGAATTCAATTTTTAAAACTTTAACATCAAATTAAAAATAGACAAATAATTATTTTTACGTCTTCGCCGGCATTTTTAGAATTCTCAGAGTCTCAGCTTTAAGACCCACTATAAATTTTTTTGAAAATAAATTTTTTTTACAAAGTTTTCAGCGCCCCCAAACCTAAAAAACCAGTTTTTTTTAGTAATTTTCCATGTTTTTGGTCTTTTAACCCTTATAACTTTTTTTCTAATTAATATTTTTAAACCGGACACATTTTGTCTTAAAGAAGAAAATATAAACTACAACTTTTGTTCCAAACATTTTTTTAAGGACCAATAGCTTTTTTTATAAAAATTGTCAAAGTTTGAAAACCAAAAATTTGTAAAAAAAATTCTTCAAACTTTACCAGAGGATTAAAAATAGACAACTTATTATTTTTATGTCTTCGTCGGCATTTTTAGAATCTTCAGTCCTTAAACTTTAAGCTCCTTTATAAATTTTTTTGAAAAAAAACTTTTTTGGCCTAGTTTTCAGCGCTTCTAGCTTAAAAAACCCGTTTTTTTTGCTGATTTCCCGTATTTTTTTTTGTTTAAAGTTCAATAACTTTTTTTCTAATTAATATTTTCTAACCGGACAAATTTTGTCTTGAAGAAGAGACTAAAAGCTACAATTTTTCCCAATTTTTTTATTTTTTGATCAATAGTTTTGAAAATATCAAATTTTATTGTAAATTACAAACTAAATGGTCTGTAGGGTCACTTAAATTTTTTTTTTTTAAATTAAAAAAAAACTAAAATCAAAAGCAAGAAAAAAAAGAAACCACAATTAAACCCGATAAGTACTTACTAAATATATAAACAACAAATAATCCCATTGCGTTGTAGATAAAAAATAAGAATCCCCGAAAAAAGAAAAATAATAAAAATAATTAATAGAATCTAAAATAAAAATCATGCAAAGCGAAAATAATGCTGAAGAAATAAAAACTAAAAACTCACCTTGTTGCTGCTGAAGATTCCGAAGATCCCGACGCGTTTTTTGATTTTCCCGCCAGAAACTGTCCCCTTAACAGTCAGGTGGTTGTGGATCGGCTGCATGGTCGCGGTTTGGGACAGCTGAGTGTTGCTGTCGTAGGACTTGGCCACCGAAAGATCTTCAAAAGGAAAATCTCCCGGAGGCTGGAACCCGCTCTTGAATCTCTCGATCACAAGGAGTGTGTCTTCCTTTTCATTAACTTCGTTCGCAGCCTTCTCGATCCCTTCGAGACACTGCGATATTATTGGCGCTACAGCCCGCTCTATCTCCACGGACTTAAGCATGTAGTTTCTCATATTCTTTATCCGCTTTTCATCCAATTCCTAGAATTATTTTTCCAGAGTTTGAAAATTTCCAAATTTTTTAAAACTTTGATCGCAAATTAAAAATAGTTAAATAATTATTTTTATGTCTTCGCCGGCATTTTTAGAATCCTCAGACCTTCAGCTTTAAAACCCACTACAACTTTTTAGAAAAAAAAATTTTTTTCGCAAAGTTTTCAGCGCCCCCAACTCAAAAAACTCATTTTTCGAAATTTGCCGTGTTTTTAACTTTTAAAAAGCCGTAACTTTATTTTTATTAAAAATTTTTAAACCGGACAAATTTTGTCTCAAAGAAGAGAATGTAAGCTACAACTTTTGTTTCAAAAGTTTTTTTTAGGACCAATAGGAACTGAGATAAAAATTATTAAAGATTGATTGTAAGATCCAAATTTTGAACTTTACAATTTTTTAAACTTTGACTTGAGATTAAAAATATTAAACTAATTATTTTTATGTCTTTGCCGAGATTTTTATCATCCTTAGACCTTCAGCTTTAAGACCCACTACAACTTTTTAGACTAAAAAATTTTTTTCGCAAAGTTTTCAGCGCCCCCAGTTAAAAAAACCACTTTTTTGGGGAATATTCCGAGATTTTGACTTTAAAATTGTCATAACTATTTTTATAATCAAAATTTTTGATCCGGATAAATTTTGTCTTATAAAGGGAACTATAAGATACAAAATTTGTATAAAGAATTTTTTTAGGACCAATAGGAGATAAAATTACCTGAAGCTGATGAAAAACTTGCGGCATGGCTGTATGATAATGAAGCGTCTGCATCTCATTAGTCTTCTGCAGCTGATTAGCATACTCAGTTTTGGCTTCCTCACTTTGCTGAGTCTTCAAGGTCATATTCATCCTCTGCTTCTCGACCTCAGCGCGAGATAAATTCAAATCCGCGTCAGCCCGCTGGTAATTCTCCAAAGCGCGCTCAGCTTCGCGAAAAGCCTTCTCGTAAGCTTTTCGAGCTCGCTCAAGACTTTGGATCTGTGCGGTCAAAGTGGACATGAGTCTCGCGCCTTCTTGGAGATACTTCTTCCGGTCTTCCTTGAAGTCCTTCACAAGGATATTTAATTCTTTGAGAACATTGGCAGTCAAATTCTCAGCGATGACCTCTCTTTGACCCGCTTGGTCATTTACTTCGTTGAGTTCTAGTTTGAATGCTCGGCAGGGACTGTATTGGTAATCATCTTCTTCTTTTTTTTTTGGCAAATAGTTTTTTACTAATCTCCTGGAAATTTTTTTTTTTTAATAAAAAATTATAGAAAGTTTTTAATAAATAATTTTTTAGAAAATTATTATTATTAAGAAATGACCTTGTATCTCGTGAAATATTGACATTTTTAAAGATATAAGCTCATCCCGATGTTACACTCATCAAGACCTTTCATTTGAGTACCCACATCAATTTTTCATATATTTTATATATTTATATATATTATATATATTATATATATGTATATATGACAAATATATCAAAAGTGCATGCTGGTACTCAAATAAAAGGTCTTGATGAGGTTAACTTCAAGATGAGCTTATATCTTTAAAAATGTCAATAATAAAGAAATGACCTTGTATCTTGTGAAACATTGACATTTTTAAAGATATAAGCTCATCCTAATGTTATACTCGTCAAGACCTTTCATTTGAGTACCCATATCAATTTTTCATATATTTTATATATTTATATATATATTACATATATAAATATATGAAAAATTGATGTGGGTACTCAAATGAAAGCTCTTGATGAGTATAACACCAAGATGAGCTTATATCATTAAAAATGTCAATTGTTAAAAAATTACCGTGCAATTAAACAAAAATCATTATTTAATAAAGTAAAATTTTAAACTGCTAGTTTGAATAATTATATTAAATTTATAAAAAATTTTTATAAATAATATTTAAATAAATTTTCTAAAATTAAAAATCATTAAAAAAATAACATTCTAAAACACATATTTAATTTTTTATAAATTCCAAAGGACCCAAACTTTCTAATCCTCCAGAAAAAATCCCAAAATCAAAAACTCACCTTAAATTAGCAGCATATTCTGTCTCAATTTTGCACCGATCCCTAATAAAGTGTCCATATCTTTCAAGAAAATCGATTCCTTTCTGCGTGTGCAGCGACAAATTGTCGTACTGATCCTAAAAAGAGAAAAAAGAAATAAAATAAGTAAATAAATACACTCACGCTCCTTTTTCGGCAAACCGGTTTTTTTTTTTTTTTTATTATTATTATTATTATTATTTCAATGTCACCAAATATTTTCAAACGTCATATCCATAAAAAAGAAACTTAATAAAAAAAAAAAAAAAATCCTGAGTTTGAATAATAAAATAAAAACACTTGAATTAAAATCTAAATTAAACTTAAAAATAAAGTAAAACATGAGTCATAAATTGGGGGCGCCTCACCCTCGTATTGACCGGGTATTTAATTTTAGTTTTCATTTTAGCAAAACAATTTTGTGATTTAAATTTCATAAAAAAAATCTCGAATTTTCTTGATTAAAATTTTAATAATTAATTGGTGTATTTATTTGTGATTATTTAGATCAGCGCGAGGTCACCGAGGTAGAGGGGGCTTGGAATGTCAAAAATAGTAAAGTGATACCTGGAAAATATTATTATTTATTAATAAAATGAATTAAATAAAAAAATGGTGGGCATGACAACTGATAGTGAGTCATTAAATGAGATTTGTTGATAATGTGACACAGATAGAGCAGAGGAGGGAAATGTAGATAGAATAGAAGAGACAGAAGGTACCAGCAGGTTCAACTTACCCAAAGTTCAGTGCCCCAACTCATTGTCGAGCTCGGGAAGACTGCCAGGTGATCCAGACGACGGGCATCTAACTCCTGTTTTTGCTATTTATTCTCTCGGTACACTTTTTAAGCTTTTTTGGTTCTTTTTTTTGGATTTTTAGATGACAGAGTCCACTTTGCCACTACAACATGGCCGAGGATCGTGTAAACCACTGGCACTGACTAAGTACCCACACCCTAGGCATTTTATTATTATATCGCGCTTGGAAGGTACGCTCAGCGCCATCTTGTGGAGATAAAGTCAGCCATTTTGAATTTATCTCTTACCGGTGGTGATTGTTGAGTATTAAAATTAAAAGGTTAGTTTTATTCTTTATTTATTTATGAGTTTATAAATAATAGAATTTTTAATTTTTGTAATAATTATAGTGTGATTTATTGTTGAGAAAAATTAATGACATTAAAGTTAGCAGAAACTTGATGAATTTTAAAAGAAAAAATTATTTTAAAAAATTGCATTTTTTTTTAATATATATTTTCACATGTAAATTTTTTTGTTATGAAATTATTAAAATTATTAAATATATGCTAATTTTCAATGAAAATAAAGTTAGCCGACATCTAAAACTTTTTATGATTTTTTTTATTACAAAAAAATAAAAAAAAATTTTTTTCATATGTTAAAAACTTCAAAAACTATTAATGAAATTTTTTAAAAGTATTTTTCAGTTAAGGTAAAAGACCCGATTAGTGGCGGGGACCCCTTTAGTGGGACTTTAATTGATTTTGCTATTTATTTATCATTAATTTCTATTATGAGTATTTTATTTCTAATTTTTAAGACCTCTAGATTACACAAATGTTCAATTTTCATTTCAGGGAAAATCTTTTTAGTAAAAAAAAATTTTTCTTTTTCAACCAAACTGACAACCCCAAGCAAATTTTTAATTTCTTAATATTTCGGTTAACATTGGTCACATTTTTAAAAGCGAATTTTCAAATATTTTTCTCATATAATTATACTAGCAATTATCATTACAGATTTTGAAAATTCTATAGAATCACAAAATTATTTATTTACCTTTTTTAAAATAAATATTATTAAAAAAAAAAAAACAAAAATGTCACTAGTAGGGGCATAAAAATTCTTTAGCGCCAATTACCGGCAATGTTTTAAAATCAAAGGCACTCTAATCTTTTTATATAGCAAATCTGTTTACGTTGATAAACGTTCTGTCTGATTGTCCAGTTATTAACAATCTCAATACGAGTCTTTTAAAAGTCATCAACAATATATTTTTGCTTAAATAATTTTAAATTCAATTATTGTTAATTTTATAATTCTTTTTCTAATAAATGTCTTTGTAAATAATACTTTAGTGTTTATAATATATTTTTTGAAAAATTTTACGCATACGAGTTAGACCCGCCACTAAAGGGGTCAGTAGTATGCCACTATTTGGGTCAGGGGATTATTGGCCCTGGCATTAATGAGGTCATTTGAATAATGGATTTTAAATAATGGTAAATTTGGAAAAATTAAAATTTTAAAAATTAATTATGTAAGTTTAAACATTAATGAAGGCATTAAGTACAAAAAAAATTCAATATTTGTACTTTAACTATAATAAAAAATTCTGTTAACCCCCTTCCTTATAGTGCCACTAATGGAGTCCTGTACCTTACATTTTTTATAAAATTAAAAAAAAAATTTTATTAAAAAATTTGAATTAAAAAAAAATTCGCGGTATTTTTTTGCGCATGCGCAAAATTCAAAATGGCGATGACAGTTGCGTATTATCCAAAGTTCCCACTCGCAGTCTAGTTCACACTCTTCCCAATGGAAGCTAGTTAACACCATACACCCAACACCACTTCACTTTTTGTCCTCTTAATTATTTATCAACAACAATGTCATTAAACAGTCACAGTGGTTGCTGCAAGTCGCACTAATTACCTGCAAATATAAAATGAAAACAGTCGCCAAAAATGGAGGCAAGTTAATTACATTAAACTTTTTAAAATTTTATCAATAATTTTTTCTACATGTCAAATTTTTTTTTAATAAAAATCAGTTGCTAAAAAATCATTTTTTTTTTTTAATTTTTATTTTCAGGTAATAGAATTATTTGATCGTCTAAATGAAAGCTTGGACACTAGTTTCCCGTGGAAATGGCTGACACCTTTGTTGGAGCGCTACGAAATTTCTTCAAGAGTGATAATAATTTCCCTGGCGAGTCTCCTGGGGATTTTGTTCCTCATCTTGTTTGTCATCTTAAGAAAATGGAAAAACAAGGAATTTTTGCCGGAGGTGAAGGAGTTTGTTGGTGTCAGCGGGAAGCCGAGGTTCAGAAAAAGAGACAAGGTGCTCTTCTACGGGAGAAAAATGTTGAGGAAGGTCAAGAGCATCAGTGGACAGGTAACAAAAATTTTTAAAAGGTTATTTTCTAGTGAATTTATAAAAAAATATTTATTTATTTATTTATTTTTTATCAGATAAAAATATTTATTTTTATTTCAATTGTTTGATAAAAATTTTAATTTTTAAAATTGAGTAAAAAAATAAATAAAAATAATTTTATTTGAGTTTTTATTTAATTAAATAAAAATATTTATTTTTATTAAGTGCATAAAAATTTAGATTTAAAAATTAAGAGTAAAAAAATAAATAAAACTAATTTAAGAAATTTTCTTTATAAAATTTTGCAGTATTAAATAATCACTGAAATTTTTTAAACTATTGACATTTTTAAAGATATAAGCTCATCTTGATGTTACATTTATCAAGAGCTTTCATTTGAGTACCCACATGCATTTTTGATATATTTTTCATATCTACATATATATAATATATATAAATATATAAAATATATGAAAAATTGATGTGGGTAGTCAAATAAAAGGTCTTGATGAGTGTAACATCGGGATGAGCTTATATCTTCAAAAATGTCAATATTTTGGAAAATACAAGGTCATTTCTTAATTATTGACATTTTTAAAGAGATAAGCTCATCTTGATGTTACACTCCTCAAGAGCTTTCATTTGAATACCTACATGCATTTTTGATATATTTTTCATATATACATATATATAAATATATAAATATATGAAATATATGAAAAATTGATGTGGGTATTCAAATAAAAGGTCTTGATGAGTGTAACATCGAGATGAGCTTATATCTTTAAAAATGTCAGTAGTTCACGAGATACAAGGTCATTTTTTAATTTACCAGGTGAACTCATCATCAGGACAAGGAAAAAAACGCCGAGCAGTGATGAGATTCGCGCGGCGACTGCTCCAGCTAAAAAAAGAAACAGTTCCGCAACAGCTAAAAGTCTTGGAGCCCCCCGCAGAATATTTAGAAGAAGATCTGGGGCCCGGCGAGAGAGTTCCTCCAGACGCGTTGTACATCCTGCAGAGCATCCGAGTGTTTGGTCACTTTGAAAAGCCAGTTTTCCTGAAACTCTGCAAGCACACGGAGATCATGAACCTCCCAGCGGGAACCGCGCTCTTTAAAATTGGAGACCCAGATGAGAATGTCTTCATCGTGCAGCAGGGGTTGGTCAATGTCTATATCACCGGGTCAGATGGCGCTCAGATTCCTCTCAAGTTGGTCAACACTGGCGAGAGTGTCACTAGTTTGCTGAGTTTCACTGATGTGCTCACTGGACACACCAGCACGTATAAAACGGTGTCGGCAAGAGCTGTTGAAGATTCTGTTGTTGTCAAATTACCCATGAGCGCTTTTCAGGAAGTCTTTCAGGATCATCCTGATGCTTTCATTCGCGTTATTCAGGTAATTTTGCTCACTAATTATTTTTAACTATTAAAAAAAATTATTTACTTTAAAAAATAACAATTAGGGTTAGACAATATTTCTAATTTTTTAGAAAAATTAATAGAAAATAAAAATGACTAAATTTTCAGAAACAAAAAAAAGTAAAAAAAAAAATTATTAATCATTAAATTTTAATTAAAAATTAATAATATTTTTTTCACTAACTAATTTTTAAAAAATAATTAATATTTTTTTTCTGATTAAATTTTTAAATTAATTAAACTACACGGAAAGAACAAGATGATACTGGATATCATTCCAGATTATATTCAGTGATATCTGCGGCGAAAAAAAATTCAGATAGTAGCTAAAAAAATCCAGATTATACTCAATATAATCTGGATTGTTAAATTGCACTGTACTTTCTTAACTATTGACATTTTTAAAGAAATAAGCTCATCTCGATGTTATATTAATCAAGAGCTTTCATTTGAGTACCCACATGCATTTTTGATATATTTTTCATATATACATATATATAACATATATTTTGGAAATATAAACTCATTATGGTGTTATACTCATCAAGAGCTTTCATTAGAGTACCCACATGCATTTTTTATATATTTTTCATATATACATATATGTAATATATATAAATATATGAAATATATGAAAAATTGATGTGGGTACTCTAATGAAAGGTCTTGACGAGTATAACATCAGGATGAGCTTATATCCTTAAAAATGTCAATATTTCACAAGATACAAGGTCATTTCTTAATTATGTATCATTTTTTAGGTGATAATGGTCCGGCTGCAACGAGTAACCTTCACAGCGTTGCACCAGTACTTGGGTCTCTCAGCAGAACTAGTGAACCAAGGACTGGCTAAAAAGAAGCAGAGCCCGTTTTCCGGGTCGCCAGTCCGGTCAAGGACTCGTGAAAACTTTGACCTGACGCCCACAGACAAGACAGACAAGACCCTGGACCTGCTCCCGCAAACGCCCACGCAGCCGGTGAGCATCAACCTCAAGAAGCCGAAGCACGAGTGGAAAGTCTCCGACGAAGCTGCTCCAGACATGGTTCCAGAGTGCGACCATCATTGGTCGGACTCTTCGCACCCTGGGAGCAGAAAGCGCTCGGCAGTTGACCAGCCGCTGATTGCCTCCGTTCAGGATGAAGCTCAGCTGGTCCAGATTGCCACCGACGCGTTTGTCAAGGAACTCGGCCTGGAGGACGACTCGGTGCTTAAAGACGGCAAGGTCCAGATAAGAGAGGTCGCTGCTGGGACTTATTTGATGAAGGAGGAGTCTAATAAAGACGTCGCGCTGGTCTATGTGCTCTCCGGGTCGCTGGTCATCAGCCAGAGAGGCTCCGAGGGTGGAAGGCCCGGAGACTCCAGTGACCAGGTTCATATGTTCAGTGCTCACACTGGAGAGATTGTTGGAGGACTCGCGGTTTTGACTGGTCAGTTTTTATTTTTTATTTTAGATACATAATTAAGAAATTACCTTGTATCTTGTGAAATATTGACATTTTTAAAGATATAAGCTCATCCTGATGATACACTCATCGAGACCTTTCATTTGAGTACCCACATCAATTTTCATATATTTCATATATTATATATATTATATATATGTATATATATGAGAAATATATCAAAAATGCATGCGCGGTTTTTGACTGGTTCAGTTTTTTATTTTTTATTTTAGATACATAATTAAGAAATTACCTTGTATCTTGTGAAATATTGACATTTTTAAAGATATAAGCTCATCCTGATGATACACTCATCGAGACCTTTCATTTGAGTACCCACATCAATTTTTCATATATTTCATATATTTATATATATTATATATATGTATATATGAAAAATATATCAAAAATGCATGTGGGTATTCAAATGAAAGCTCTTGATGAGAGTAACATTAGAATGAGCTTATATCTTTAAAAATGTCAATTATTAAGAAATGACCTTGTATCTTGTGAAATATTGACATTTTTAAAGATATAAGCTCATCCTGAGGTTACACTCATTAAGACCTTTCATTTGAGTACCCACATCAATTTTTCATATATTTATATATATTATATATATGTATATATGATAAAATATATCAAAAATGTATGTGGGTACTCAAATGAAAGGTCTTGACGAGTATAACATCAAGATGAGCTTATATCTTTAAAAATGTCAATATTTACCCAAGTACAGTGCAATTTAACGAGTCATTATTTAATAAATCAGAATTTTATTTATTTGTAGTTCACAAGTCAAGGTAGCAATATTAAAAATTAGAAAAATTTATTTTTAATTTGCGACAAAATATTTATAAAAATAATAAATTAATTAAATAATTTTTTAATAATATATTATTTCAGGTGAACCATCATTCTACACAATAAGAGCGAAGCACCCGAGCAGGATAGCTCTTCTGAGCAAGCAGACGTTCTTTGCGATAATGCGAGAGAAACCGACGATAGTGTTGCACGTGGCGAACACGGTGGTTCGAAGACTCAGCCCGTTTGTAAGGCAAGTAGACTTCGCCTTGGACTGGCTGTTCCTGGAGAGCGGGCGCGCCGTCTACCGGCAGGGAGATGAGTCGGACTCGACCTTCATTGTCCTCAGCGGGCGATTGAGGTCAGTAATTACTCACAACAACGGCAAGAAAGAGCTGGTTGCTGAGTATGGAAAGGGCGACCTTGTTGGGATCGTTGAAATGGTCACGCAGACTCCAAGGTCAACTACTGTTATGGCTGTCAGGGATTCGGAACTGGCCAAGTTACCCGAAGGACTTTTCAATGTCATCAAATTGAGATACCCGATTGTTGTTACCAGGCTTATTAATTTACTGGGTAATTTCTTTTATTCTAACTAGCAATTTTAAAAATATAAGCTCATCACGATGTTATACTCATCGAGAGCTTTCATTTGAGTACCTACATGCATTTTTGATATATTTTTCATATATACATATATATAATATATATAAATATATGAAATATATGAAAAATTGATGTGGGTACTCAAATGAAAGGTCTCAATGAGTCTAACATCGGGATGAGCTTATAAGGTAAAAGACCCCATTAGTGGCACTATAAGGAAGGGGGTTAACAGAATTTGTTATTATAGTTAAAGTACAAATATTGAATTTTTTTTGTACTTAATGCCTTCATTAATGTTTAAACTTACATAATTAATTTTTAAAATTTTAATTTTTCCAAATTTACCATTATTTATAATTATTTAAAATCCATTATTCAAATGACCCCATTGATGGCAGAGCCAATAAGCCCCTGATCCAATTAGTGGCATACTACTGACCCCTTTAGTCGCGGATCTAACTCGTATGCGTAAAATTTTTCAAAAAATATATTATAAACACTAAAGTATTATTTACAAAGACATTTATTAGAAAAAGAATTATAAAATTAACAATAATTGAATTTAAAATTATTTAAGCAAAAATATATTGTTGATGACTTTTAAAAGACTCGTATTGAGATTGTTAATAACTGGACACTCAGACAGAACGTTTATCAACGTAAACAGATTTGCTATATAAAAAGGTTAGAGTGCTTTTGATTTTAAAATTGCCGGTAATTGGCGCTAGAGAATTTTCATGCCCCTATTAGGGACATTTTTCTTTTTTTTTTTAATAATATTTATTTTAAAAAAGGTAAATAAATAATTTTGTGATTCTATAAACTTTTTAAAATCTGTAATGATAATTGCTAGTATAATTATATGAAAAAAATATTTGAAAATTCGCTTTTAAAAATGTGACCAATGTTAACCGAATTATTAAGAAATTTAAAATTTGCTTGGAGTTTCAGTTTGGTTGAAAAAGAAAAATTTTTTTTTTACTAAAAAGATTTTTCCTGAAATGAAAATTGAACATTTCTGTGATCTAGAGGTCTTGAGGATTAGAAATAAAATACTCATAATAGAAATTAATGATTAAATTGATTAAATAAATAGCAAAATCAATTAAAGTGCCACTAAAGGGCTCCCCGCCACTAATGGGGTGTTTTACCTTATCTTTAAAAATGTCAATAGTTCTCAAGATAGAAGGTAATTTCTTAATTATTAACATTTTTAATGATACAAGCTCATCCCGATGTTACACTCATCAAGAGTTTTCATTTGAATACCTACATGCATTTTCATATATTTTTCATATATACATATATATATAAAATATATGAAAAATTGATGTGGGTACTCAAATGAAAGGTCTCAATAAATGTAACATCGGGACGGGCTTACATCTTTAAAAATGTCAATATTTCATAAGATACAAGGTAGTTTCTTAATTATTGACATTTTTTAAGATATAAGCTCATCCCAATGTTACACTCATCAAGAGCTTTTATTTGAGTACCCACATGCATTTTTGATATATTTATCATATATACATATATATATAATATATATAAATATATAAATATATAAAATATATGAAAAATTGATGTGGGTACTCAAATGAAAGGTCTCGATGAGGATAACATCAGGATGAGCTTATATCTCTAAAAATGTCAATATTTCACAAGATACAAGGTCATTTCTTAATTATCGACATTTTCCAGGTCACCGAATTCTAGGAAGCTGGCAGCAAGTAGCAACAACAAGATCATCAATAAAAACCCAGCACCGACCTACAGCAACAACATTCGACGCAAGACCATCCCAAGTAAACTTCTCAACAGTCGCGATAGTTCCAGTCTCCGAAGATGTCCCTTTAACGGCGTTCACCTACGAGCTGTACCACTCGCTCTGCGCAATCGGACCTTGTCTCAGGCTGACCTCCGACGTAGTGAGGAAGACGCTGGGCACCAGCATCATGGAGACGCCCAATGAGTACCGGCTGACTTCCTGGCTCGCGCAGCAGGAGGACCAGCACCGGATCTCTTTGTACCAATGCGACTCGACCTACACCGCTTGGACCCAGCGGTGTGTTCGCCAAGCCGATTGTATTTTGATCGTCGGGTTGGGAGACAAACCTCCGACTTTGGGAAGAACTGAACGCGAGGTCGAGAGACTTGCTATGAGGACGCAGAAGGAACTGGTGCTTCTACATAAGGAACACGGTCAGAGGCCCAGCAATACTGTCGAGTGGTTGAACATGAGGAGCTGGGTCTCCAGTCATCATCATATTCAGTGTCCTAAGAGGATGTTCACCAGGAGGTCGCAGTACAGAATTGTAAGTTTTTTTGATTCTATTTTTCTTAAAAAAAAATTTCTGGAACAAAAATTGTAGATTTTAGTATGAAAATTAATTTAATAGATATTTTATAATTTTAAGAATTTTTTTAACAAATAATCTCAAAAAAAATGAAAAAAAAAATTGACATTTAAAAAATTAAAAAAATCAAAATTTTTAGAAATAATTTTCTAAAATTTTTTTATTAAAAAAAATTAAAAAATGGTCAAGTGACCTAACAGTGTCATCTTTTAGTCTCCTTTTTTTTGACAAAATGGTTAAAGTTTGGACATTAATAATATTTTAATAAGTATTAAATTTATATAATTTTTATCTAGAAAAATTTTGGTCCTAAAAAAAATTTTTGGTACAAAAATTGTAGCTATTAGTCTCCTCTTTAAGATAAAATTTTTCCGGTTTAAAAATAATATTTAGTTTCTAAGTTATGACCATTTAACTAGTGGTCAAATTTTGGACATTAACAATACTTTGATGAGTATTAATTTTATATAATTTTTATCTAGGGAAATTTTGGTCCAAAAAAAAATTTTTAGTACAAAAATTGTAGCTATTAGTCTCCTCTTCAAGAAAAAATTTGTCCGGTTCAAAAATAATAATTATTTTTTAAGTTACGACCATTTTATTAATGGTCAAAGTTTGGACATTATTATCAACAAAGATTGGATCATTATAAATTATTATCTCGGGAACTATTGGTTCTAGAAAAAAACTTTTGGAACAAAAGTTGTAGTAAAAAGCCTCCTCTTTCCTCCAAAATTACCCCGGTTCCAAAATTCTAACCAATTTCTTTGGTTCCAGAACGAACTGTACTCAAAAGTGCTGATGTCGGAACCGAACGTGCACAGCGACTTCAGCAGACTTGCGCGATGGCTGACAGGAACATCAGTAGGTCTAGTTCTTGGCGGTGGTGGCGCTCGGGGCGCAGCTCACATCGGAATGCTGAAAGCCATTCTAGAAGCTGGGATTCCTATTGACATGGTAGGGGGCGTGAGCATCGGTTCCTTCATGGGGGCGCTGTGGTGCATGGAGAAGAACATTACGACGACGACACAGAAGGCCCGAGAATGGTCGAAGGTCAGTTTAATTAAGAAATGACCTTGTATCTTGTGAAATAATGACATTTTTAAAGATATAAGCTCATCCTGATGTTACACTCATTAAGACCTTTCATTTGAGTACCCACATCAATTTTTCATATATTTATATATATTATATATATGTAAATATGAAAAATATATCAAAAATCCATGTGAGTACTCAAATGAAAGCTCTTGATGAGTGTACCATCAGGATGAGCTTATATCTCAAAAAACATCAATAGTTAAAAAAAATACAATGAAATTTAATAATAAAATAAATTTTTCAGAAAATGACACAGTGGTGGAGGCAAATATTAGACTTGACCTACCCGATGACCTCAATGTTCTCCGGAAAGGACTTCAACAAGACAATCCAGACGACTTTCGGCGACACGTACATCGAGGACCTCTGGCTTCCGTTTTTTATAATCACGACAGACATCACGGCTTCTTGTATGCGCACGCACACACATGGTCGGTATTCGTTGGTTAACTCACTCACGGTATTCCCACTTTCTTATTTTGTTAATAATTAATAAAATTAACAATGCATGACGAAATTGGGAATACGAAGCTAATTCATTAGACATTAGACAGCTTTTTAATAATTAATTCACAAATCTCGCACTCGATCATCTGCTTTTCTAATGACGGGAGCGAGTTTTATTAAAATTGTTGACGTACTCGCGGTAGACGCTAAATTGAAATTCGGAAAGCTGTTCAATAAATTCACTCGATTAGATGATTTTATTATAATGACAGATGACGTGTTTAGGATCGCTGTGGCGTTACATTAGGAGTTCAATGTCACTGTCTGGTTATATGCCACCCTTGTGTGATCCAACAGATGGCCATCTACTCCTTGACGGCGGGTACGTCAATAATCTGCCAGGTAAATTTTTTTTACTCATATTTACTTGTGACATTTTAACTCGCTCCCGTCGACAAGATGCATCGCATATTTTTTTTATTCCTTTATATTTTCCCGAAAATCGCAACCCTGGTTTAAAGAAATTATTTTTTGACTTTAAATTATAAATAGACAACTAATTATTTTTATGTCTTCGCCGGGATTTTTACAATCCTCAAAGCCTCAACTTTAAGACCCACTACAATTTTTTTGAGAAAAAAATTTTTTTAATTAAATTTTCAGCGACCCCAACTCCAAAAACCCATTTTTTAAAGAATTTCCCGAGTATTTGACCTTTAAAGCTATATAACTTTTTTTGGAATCAAAATTTTGTCACCGGACAAATTTTGTCTTAAAGAGGAGAAAATAAGCTACAATCTTTGTCCCAAAAGTTTTTTTTAGGAACAATAGGAACCGAGATAAAAATTTTTTAAAGTTAATTAGTATAAAATTTCAAATTTTACAATTTTTTAAACTTTGATTAAGGATTAAAAATAGATAAATAATTATTTTTATGTCTTTGCCGGCATTTTTAGAATCCTCAGACCTTCAGCTTTAAATCCCACTACAACTTTTTGGAAAAAAAATTTTTTTTCGCAAAGTTTTCAGCGCCCCCAACTCAAAAAACTCATTTTTGAGGAATTTGCCGTGTTTTTAACTTTTAAAAAGCCATAACTTTGTTTCTAATAAAAATTTTTAAACCGGACAAGTTTTGTCTAAAAGAAGAGAATGTAAGCTACAACTTTTGTACCAAAAGTTTTTTTTAGGACCAATAGAAACTGAGATAAAAATTATTAAAGATTGATTGTAAGATCCAAATTTTAAACTTTACAATTTTTTAAACTTTGACTTGAGATTAAAAATATTAAACTAATTATTTTTATGTCTTTTCCGGGATTTTTATCATCCTTAGACCTTCAACTTTAAGACACACTACAACTTTTTAGAAAAAAAAATTTTTTTCGCAAAGTTTTCAGCGCCCCCAGTTCAAAAAACTACTTTTTAGGGAATATTCCGAGATTTTGATTTTAAAATTGCCATAACTTTTTTTATTATCAAAATTTTTGATCCGGACAATTTTTATCTTATACCGGGAACTCTAAGCTACAATTTTTGTATCCAGAAATTTTTTTTGGACCAATAGGAGCCGAGATAAAAATAATAGCTTGAAACCAGGGTTGTGAAAATTATTGCTTAGTTGACTTTTAAACGACCCTAGAGGGTCAGTAAAGTATTTTGCTAATTTCCCACTTAACCTAGGCCCATTATGGAAGTACGTACGCGCAAGTATGACAATAGCGGGGGTGTTTCCTCCAATTTGTGACCCGCTAGACGGGCATCTGTTAGTCGACGGGTGTTACGTAAACAATGTCCCAGGTAATTTGCAAAAAGTCCTTAAAAAAAGTATAAATAATAATAAAAAAAAAAAAAAAATTGCACCAGCTGACATAATGCTAAGACAAGGAGCACACCACATCCTGGCCATCGACGTTGGATCCCAGGACGATACTGACCTAACAAACTACGGAGATTCTTTGTCCGGGTGGTGGCTACTTTGGAAGCGCTGGAACCCTTTTGCGACCCCAGTGAAGGTCCCAAACCTCCCGGACATCCAATCAAGGCTCGCTTACGTCAGCTGCGTCCGCCAATTGGAGGAGGTCAAGTCCTCGGACTACTGCGAGTACATCCGCCCGCCGATTGATAAATACAAGACCCTGCAGTTCGCGAATTTTGATGAGATCAAGGATGTTGGGTACCACCACGGGAAAACTTACTTTGAAGGCCAGAGCAAGGCTGGGGTCTTGCCCAGGTTCAACGCGGATAGAGAGACTGCCAAGGCTCTCCGTGCTAAGCATCAGTCTAATCAGGACTCTATTTCTTCGTACACTTTCACCGATCTTGCGCAGATGGTCTGCAAGGTCTCTACTAGGAACAGGAGGTACGATCTGGATCTTGATTCCGAGTCCGATGAGTTTGAGGAATATGAAGCTGATATGGAGGAGGATAATCATGAGGTTGGATATGCTTCAGAACCCACCGCGGGAATTTTAGATCAGGTTAGTTTAAAAATTATTAAATATTAATAAAAAATGTTAATTAGTATTTATTAGTGTAAAAAATTAATTTTGGTTGCCTTAAATCTCTACTTGCGAGATAAATAATATACTAGGCGCCACCTAGTGGCGCCTTTTATGAACTAAATTAAAAAAATTGATTTTCAATTAGAAAAATTTCAAGTAATTAATCTAACTAGTGAGTACTAGTTGAAAAATGAATTTTGGTTGCCTTACATGCGAGATAAATAATCTACTAAACGCCACCTAGTGGTGACACCAAAAACTAAAGTTGAAAAAAAATGATTTATAATTAGAAAAATTTTAATTAATTAGACTAATTAGTGAGTACAAGTTTAAAAATAAATTTTGGTTGCTTTACATGTCTACTCGCGAGATAAATAATATACTAGACGCCACCTAGTGGCGCCTTCAGGAACTAAATGCCACTATTGCTGCGTCATCTGCATATTTTCTAATAAATACCTTCTTTTTCCCAATCACTGTACCTCCTATGTTCTTTTTTTCTATTACATCCTCCATGTCATCTATAAATAAATTAAATAGGACTGCGCTTAAAGCGCAATCCTGTCTAACCCTTTGATTTATTTCGAATTGCTCCGTTTTTTTATTTCCTAGTTGAATTTCACGTGATGTCTTGCTATATATTTCCTCTATCATTTTTAGCATCCTTCCACTTATCCCTGCCTCTTTTACCTTTTTTATCAAAATTTTTCTGTCCACTGTATCAAAAGCTGCCTTTAAGTCAATGAATCCTACAAATAGTTTCTCTTTTCTTTTTAGTTTGTTATTTATTAGCGCATTTAACATAAATATATGGTCCCTTGTTCCTCTCCCTCTTCTAAAACCAGCTTGGCTTTCTTTTATCTTGCCTTCCCTGTCTGCCCACTCCATTATCCTATTAGCCATTATCATTGCTAGTAATTTATATCCAATATTTAATAAGGATATTCCTCTGTAGTTTTCTGTTTTTTCTTCTTTTTCTTCATCCCCTCCTTTGAATATTGGCACTATTCTTGCTTTTTCCCATCCATTTGGCATCTTTCCTTCTGTCCATATGTTATTAATTATTCCTCTTAATTCCTCTTTTATTTCTCTCGGCAGATTTTTTATAAATTCCGCTTTTATACCATCTTCCCCTAGCGCTTTGTTATTTCCTAGTCTTTCTATAGCCTTTCTGAATTCTAATCTGCAAATATTCTCATCCCACTCATTTCTTTCATCTTCTCTGTTAACACTATTTGTATTTTCATCGATCCTTTCTTTCTCTGCCTCTTTTACTGTTTTTTCGTTCACTTCTTTTTTGTTTAGTAGCTCTGCAAAGTGTTTAACCCATGTTTTACCACTAATTTTTCCCCCAAGTTTCTTATTACGCCTCTTTTTTCTGTATTTATTAATTAATTCCCACCATTTACTCATATCTTTGGCATTATTTATTTCCTTTTTCTTATTTTCCCACCACTCTTCTTTTGCTATTCTTACGGTCTCGTTATATATCCTTTTTGCTTCAATAAAGTCTATTTTTTAGCTTTTATTATTGCTATCTTTTTCATTTGTTAGTTTTTTAAGTGCTTTCCATACTTCTTCTCTTTTTAATTTACACTCGTTGTTGAACCACTCCTTTTTTGTTTTATCTGCTTTATCACACTCTTTTCTTTTTTTGCTCATCCCTGTTTCTTTGGCTCCATTATATATTATTTCCTTCATATCGTTCCACTCTAACTCCGTTTCTCTTTCCGTTATTTTTTCATTCCATTTTTCCCATATGACTTCTTGGTATTCCGCAATTTTGTCCTTCTTCCACCCTAATATGTCCTCCTCGATTTTTATTGCCCCTTCTTCTTGAGCTATGTGGTCACTTTCGCTCCCTTGTCTTTTTGCTCCTGCTTTTGCCTTATCTTTTTCGTTTAAATTGAGAATTAATGGCAGGTGGTCTGAATCTATGCTTTTTAATATTTTTAAATAGCTGATACCTGAGTCACCTCCTCTATCCAGTGTCAACACTAAGTCTAATACCGACCCACAGTTTTCGCTCTTTCCTCCTATAAATGTTATTTCTCCCTTTCTGTCGCCTTCTGTTCCTCCATTCATTATTCTTAGCCCCAGTTCCTTGCACACCTTGAGTAGCTTTTTCCCCTCTGAATTAAACACTTTGTCCTTCGATTTTCTTTTTAGTCTCCCTTCTTCTTTTACCCCTTCTGTATTTCTTTCCCCTACTCTAGCATTTAAATCCCCAACTATTATTATTTTCTCCGCTGTTCTCGCATTTTCTTCCACCACCCCCTTTAATTCTGACTCTATTTTTTTTATCCCTACGTTATTATACACTGATATTATCATAGCCTCTGTGTCATTTCTGTTTTCATTTTCTTTTGCTATTTTAAAGCCATATCCCCATTCGTTTACTCGCCATTTTTTCTCCACTCTTTTTTTAATTCCAAGTAAGTCACCCCCACTAGCTCTTCCTCTAGATTTACTATTTTTTTTTATCGCGTCTATTGCCCACCATTTGAAATTTTTGCTTAACCGTTCTATCGTTTTCTCTCTGTTTTTTTTTTCTACCCATGTTTCTACTAAAATTATAATCTCATACTTCTCTATTCCATTATTTAATTCACTTATTTCTTTCATACCTGCTATATTCCAAAAACATATCATGCACTCTCCCCTATTATAATTTTCTCTACTCACACATTCCTCTCCTAGAATCCTTGTAGATAATGTGAAAACGACTCGATTGATGCATAATAATGATTAAAAATGAACTTATCGAAAATTTTAAACCCTAGTCTAGTTAACTCTTGATAACTCTTGATAACAATAGCCACGCGGACATGTAAAAATGAAGACTAAATTTTTTCCAAGTTACTAATCTAATCAACTGTTTGGCTTAGAATCCTTGTAGAGAATGTGAAAACGATTCGATTGATGTATAATAATGATTAAAAATGAACTTATCGAAAATTTGAAACCCTAGTCTAGTTAACTCTTGATAACTCTTGATAACAATAGCCACGCAGACATGTATTAATGAAGACTAAATTTTTTCCAAGTTACTAATCTAATCGAATG